AGTAGGTCACTCATGTTGGTGCAATGACCAGTCACATAAGGTTATCACTGGGGACACATGGCCGTTTTCACTCAACACTGTCGGTCGCCATCTTTCAGTTCATTGCACTGTCATGAATTTGTTTTTGCGTATCTGTTGACCGACTTAATTAGTTGATTATTAGCTGAATTGCTGTGTTATGTCTGTCATCGTTTAGGCCTATTTGAAGTTTTGGACGGAACTTGGCTCAGTGATTTGGAACTAATTACGAGATATCCGTCGCGATTCTGACAGTTGGTATCCATAGTTATTAATGTAGTGAACGATTAATCAAAAGATATGACGTATTCAGTACTTAGTGTGATTGGCTTTATGATTGAAGGTTACGCCCTAGAGTCTTTTTACTGCTTTGTAATTGGTTAGAGTTGTGAAAATGAATAAAGAGAGTTTGAGTTGGTCTTGGGGAGCACAGCACGATAGACGCAGTAGAGAGAGTGCAGTCCTGGAGAGTCGGTCGAGTCCTGGAGAGCCTTGGGGCGAGTGTTGACGCAGTCTAAGAGAGTCTTGGGTCAGCCTTGTGATAGTCTTGGGGACTTTTCCCCAGGGCGCTGTGTCTTATAGAGTGCTCGATTGACCGACTAAGACGAGAGCTGAAACGTATTTCGTTGTGTGTGCCTTATTTGACTGTAAAGTATAAGTGACTTTCCCGATCCCGTACCTCAAGGGGACGCGATAGAGAGACGAGACGAGTTTCCCCCCTGACACGTGTAGAGAACCCGAGAGTAGAAAGAATTTCCCCCTGATAGCACTCTGTCACAGTAAAATCTAAAATGGCACCGAACAGAGTTATGTGTGGTCCGGAGAAATAAAGAACGCCAAATTAATCGTTTTTGTCACGGTTTTCGCACTGGCGAGTGTTTAATAAACATACTAGTACTGGTGATAGTTCCGATTGCGTGATGTGAAAAAATTGTGTACTTTTATCTACTTTTATTTGCGATGGCATTTGGCGTTGCAGTTTGTGTTGCGCAAGTCTTCGAGGGGGACAATATAACAACTTTAAGGCGAGGCCGTAGTAAGCAAAAATTAGTTGGTCGGGCCATCCATCGAAGGCCGTATGCCCGAGGCATATTTTGACGTAGGCCGAAGTGGTCCGGCCATAGCCGGTACGGCCGGTACGGTTCCTACGGCATTGTTAAGGGACATTAAATTTTATCAGGAATGACTAAAATGCTACTAGTACTACAAAGACAAAAGACCGAGCTATGGACCCACAGCTAAGCCTTTACTAGAAACTGTCGGCGATTTCATAACTCTACACGTATTTTATTTATACAAGTTGCGAAGGTATTGCGCATTCTTGGCAAGTTTCCAAACGGTTTCTCAGATAAAAAAAAAAACTATTTGTGTTCGAGGCCCGTAAACACTTGAGACTATTTGAAAGACATGAACTGTGATCACACGTAACTATATTACTCAGACTGTCAATAGACTAAAGTTCATTCAACGGTTAGTCGACCTATCGCGTTGCTCGTAACATATAAATATTGATAAAACACGTTATTATTTTTAATAAATAAAATAGGACTTTAAATAATATAATCTTTACTGAAAGTATGAAAAGAAAGTGAATATTGTTAATATAATCAATTATCTTGGCCTAATTATTAGTGCAAACGGCAGATTTAAAGAAATTATAAATAACTTAAAAAGGGAAAAAATTAAACGCAACAATAACATGGACATTACACTTCTTATGTCACTTTTTGATAAGCTTATAAGACCAGATATAACATATGCTGTGATGTTTGTGGTGATGAAAGTATTATAAAATCGGCAATTGCGGATGTTCACCTTTCATTCTGCAGATTTGTGCTTGGCATCTTTAAATACACATCAAAAAATATCAATCTATGGTAAACTGAGAAGATACTCGGCTGACATATCATTAAAAGACAATTAATTAAATCATTTAATAGATTCGGTAATTCATCGAATACATTATTGAAGCATGCCTACGTTGTTAATAAAAACAAGAGCAAATGGTTTCAAACAATTGAGAAACTGTCGAGCAGTAATGATTATGACCAAATTATCTTCAATTGAGATTCTTTCAACATAGTTCACAAGTTCACAAGAAAGTGGGAAAATGATATTCAAATTGACAGACATAAATAGAGATAGTTAATTCTAGAAGTGTGATAATGTACAAAAACAAAGCATAAGTTAATATTAAAAATTTTGGACCCAGCAGTGAGAGTGAGAGTGATAAATTATTTCCCTTATGGTCAACAAACATTGTCACTCTTAATTAGCTTAATTCATTAAAGCCAGTCATAATACCAGACAATAACTGTCTTGAATGAGTTTGCAGCTTAGTATTTTTTTCTTTGTTTTGTTGTGTATGACCATTTCCATCTTTTCCGGGAGATATTATGAGTTAATAACCCCATATTATTAATTTAAAAGTGCATTTTACAATCAAATACATCATGTTTAGAACACACGTCAGATAACCATTAAATGACATATCCGTCAAAGATAAAACAATGCTTTATATTCGTTTTATCTTATTATTTTTTTCTAGAAATAACTCAAAATAAACTAGTATTTGTCATGGCCATAGACATTGAACTGACCATTCAATTTGCACTGTGTTGATAAATGACGTGGTTAAGTACATAATTATAGGTATTCGTTGTTAATAGGGCTTGAGAAATAAATAATCTCATCAGGATGATAATCAAATAAGCTCCCATAGAGAATCTTTAATCTCGACGGGAAATGACAGTGCAGAAAATTGACAACACTTTCCCCCTCGATAGCAAATAACATATTTGACCACAAGAGGGCGCACTATCCACATACTGCTATACACGTACGGTATTTATCATTTCATCAAAATGAGGGAAATGGGTGAAAGTAATTAACATTTGCTTTTTTTAGCTTTTTTGGTGGATGAAAGATTCAGGGCTGCGATTGTATGTGATGAACATGATACAGATGGAGAAATACAATAAAAATGTGATTTCATAAATTTTATTTTAATAAATCTGAATATAACTTGTTATATTTTCAAAGATGCATTATAAATGTACAAAGTAAACAAGATTGAAATTTGATTGAAAACTGCATTTAATAGACAATGCAACACTTACAAAAGCCCTTATTCTCGATAAATCGTATATATTTAAAAAAAATGTATCTATTCAATTCCAATGATTAAAAGAAATATTGCAGAAAGTTGAATTGCGTTTTTTGGCAAAAATTTTGTAAATAGATAATCATTTGCATGATCTGAGATTAATTTAAGGCAGCTTTGTTTAAAATTGATACTTGCTTGTAAACTTTTCAATATATTCACATTATTAGAAATTACAGCGTTGTGTTCAATATGGGTTCCATGTGACATGTACAAAATATATTGTTTACACAAAACTAGAATGTAGACTGTGGTGTTATAAGCTTTGTTCACACATGCTTTGTAAATATACCTTATCAATGGACTAAACCTGCATTCTATTTATACTCTGCAGAACCTACCTTTGGGTCACCTTTAGAGGGCGCTGTTTTAAGCCAGGCGACCTTGTTCATGCATATCTCATCTTATCTCAAGGTTGAACACAGAACTCAGGGTAAAGACCAACCTTCTGACTCTGAGCTAAAATTAACTCAGAGTCAAACCCCTGCATTTTGCTAGATGTGTGAACACCAAATTAAAGAACACAATTGTCTAACCAAATAATAGGAAGTATCTTGCAGTTATGGCAGAAAATTCAAAATCAAAAATTCATTAAAGAACATATTTTGGCATTAATTGATGAGCAAGTGTTCAAATGTTGTGTAAACAAACAATGCATTTAACATTTTTGTAAAGTCACATTCAATCCATTTCAAAAACAACCTGATGCAATAATTTTGATGCTCCAAGTCAAGGTACCAGCTTATTTTTACAGATGCAGAACAATCAAAACTGTCTGATTGCAAGCAGAATTTCCTACTAACCATATATAAGTAACATAGCCCAAGTCCTCTCATACAATTCCCACAAAAGGCACAGGTAGATGTACAATGTAATTGTCCTAGTTTAAACGATTACTGTATAA